TTTTGGAATCCTTTATTCTCAAAAAAATGTCAAATTCTTTATTATTTTTAATTCAAAAACTAGCATTAATTTTTTATTTAAGCAGAAATTCGTATTAAACACAATAAATCTGGTATTTATATTGAAATTATTGATCCTGCAATACGGTCCTCTGCTTTGGTACGGTCCATTTCGAAACGTATAAAATGCAACATTTATATCAAATTTTACGGAAATATACAAAAAAATAAACTCCGGTAAGTACAAACAAATACTAAACTGTTTGCTGAAACAGATTAAAGTTATGTATACACCGGAGTTTCAAGCTCTGATTTCAATAGCACAGTGACAAACTAAAATTTTGTAATCAACGAAACGTCCATACATTAACAATAAGCCTGTTTGTTGACAGCGGTTCGAAATTATTTTGCTTTTATGAGAATCGTGCAATTTAAGTGACGTAATCTTCACGCCTGATACCTGCACATTCAATTTGCCAGTGAAAATGTACTCTAGTCTCGAATGATATAACGTTGTTTCATGAAATATGAGCGCTCGCCCCTTCTCCTCCTCCTCCTCCTCCCCCCTTCACACTCTCTATTAAATACCCTACAGAAAATCAATCGCCGTGAAAGAGCTGACTGATCTCAACCGATGTCCGATACAGTCTTTAACGACCACTTCCAATTTTGAAATATCATCTATGGAGTTGTGATTCGGACATCGGTGATTTTTAGATATAAACACGCACATACATATTCATTTAAAAATTGTTAAATTTTTTGGAATAGTTGTAAATACATGAATAAAAATTTCATTGAGATTTTCTCGATAAACTTGATTAAAATGTCGAATAAAAATTAATGATTAATATAGATAATTAAAATATACATAATAATAATTTCATTTTTTATACCAATATCGTGAGATTACGTAATTAATTAATGTGACTTGTAATATAACTACATCAGCATTAGTAAGCAGCATTATTTCAGTATAATGTTAGCGGTTTATTATTCCCAAAGCCGTAACATAATGAACTAATGTTCATAAAGTCTGACATAAAAAAATAGTAAAAAAGATCAAATTGACTACATTGGCATATAATATTATTAATATACGTGATTTATTATTATTTTATCTTTGAAAAATGAAAAGTTGGGTGTGATATTTCTTTGGAGAAAATAACGTTGCCTTTTGGAAAATATGCTCCTACGCGTGGCTCATATGTTGCTATCCACGGAAGCCGCATATTTTGAATCATCACACTAAATTCATATACGTGGCTTCATTTCTCTACACACGTACGTTACACTATGTTTCGAATTAATCAAAATGTAGCATGAATGTAGCAACTAAATCTGTATTAAGGAACGACAAATCAATTAAAGTCCTTTGACCAGAAACTACTTTGTCCGTTCCTGGAATGGATTATAGTCGAGTACCTATGTCGACTATATGTTCGTGATTAGTTAGATCCTACGTACAATAGAGAAAATATTAAATATTAGAAATAGGAAATTTATATTATTTTATTTCAAAACAAGAAAATAAAATGGATTAATGTATCATGAATTAGGAAATAAGAATTAGAACTAATTAATCCGTTTTGTTCTCGTGTTTGAAGTAAAATAATTCCAAATTGCTCTTCCTAATATTTAATATTTATTCTTATTCCTAATATTTTCTCTATTGTTCTTTAGGGCCTTAATGCTCGGGGTATATAGTCTATTAAAACAATTCTTCGACAAATATAGCCAACCACTCGATGCGATAACGCCTTTGGCGATGCTTCTCAGGTAGTATTATATTATTAAAAAATTGTATTTTTAATACAAGCGGATTAATTCAAGCGGATTATAAGATTGAAGTTGTTTATTATGTATTTTAGTCGTGATGGAATTGCGTTCTTATTTATAAGCGGCACTTCTATTATTTTTATCTTAAATTTCTAGTTTCAACACTTTCTTATACATTATATTAGGTTTAATTATGATAAAAATTTTTTTTATAACACTACCTTTATATCGAAATCTGTCAATTATACTACAATCCATATTTGAAAACGATAAAGTCTAAAGTGAACGACGGTCTCGGCGATTTAGAACCGCTTATTTTAAACTCTCTCGTCTGTTTACTCTCATCTCGCATTATTAACAAGTAGATTATTTATGGCTTGTTGGTGTTTGGTCTACACCGATAAATGGGTTATTTACGACTTTGCATGTTTCGTGAGAATTAATAATTCCTAATGGGTTTTCGCATATAGCAGCAGATGACATTTAAATTGAATGTGTGGCAGTGGCAAATGTGGCCGCTACTCGTTTCATGCGACAAATGTCATATTAATGTCTGGTTTTATTCAATTCCATAATAGCCGCATCATTTTCTACGCCATTAAATCTTTTTCTCTTGCTATGGATTAGAAAATATTTCGTCATCAAAACTATTAATGTATATAATAATAAAATATCCATGTAATTTAAAGCAGTTTATTAATCAGTAATAATATCAACGTAAATTTTCTCGATTACCGCAATTGAAAATGTAATTTATCGATTCGGAAGTGTAAAATCAATTTCTTTGGCACAACTACATTTGCCACATTATTCTGAACATGACATTTCCGAACAACTTAACACGCCTAAGTTGTCAATAATAATCGGAACGCAGCTACATGAGCCAGAAATCGGTCGCATTTGTTCCGGCCAATAATTGTCGATACTAATAATGACAATCCTGACAAATCGAGGATTCCGCAAAATTAGCCACAAAGATATTTCGCCAGTAATTATAATATTGGTAATGATTACACTACGGGGACGTTGGCTTGGGAACGCTACCTTGGTTGCTGCGGCTCAACGTTTATACGTCGATAATCGGCTTAACCGCGTATTAATTAATTAGCCAATTTTGAACACATGGAACAAGCTTCTGTAGTTCTATAATCAAAGTATACAAAAGTTTACTTTTATCTACCAGAGTAAATATGAGTATATAAAAATATATCAAAAAGAATCTGTTCTCTTCTGGCTATCTACACAGACATGCCTACTACTGATCACGTCTGACCACGCACTGTCTCATTCTACTAAATGATAAATTTTCTGTATTTGCACGCAATCTTCTATTAAGTCAGTATCTAATTTCGGTCGTATATCACTATGATTGAAGAAAGTGTGCCTTTTTGATTCGTTCTGGTTTGGTTCGCGGTGATAATTCATATCTGAGGGAATTGCGGAAAGATTGAGCGCGATTAAGTGCGTGCCAAGAAACAATTGTAGTACTTGGCACTGTTAACGTGCTGTAAAATCATTTTAACACACGACTAGTGGAATTTAACGAGACAATGAAATATCGGAAATAGTGTAAGAACTTTTTTATGCGTTTAGTCAATGTTTTTTTAATAAAAAGAAAAATGTTTTGCTACGCGACATATTCATTGTTAAAATTATTTAATGTCTACAAAATTTCAGATTATTAATATCTTCTTTTCCTCTTTCAAGTTACAGTATGATAATAACAATAATAATAATATGGAAAATTTGTGTGGAATTAAATATTGCTTTTAAGATAACAATTGTATTGTAAAATAAGCGAGTTAACTTATGTAATTAGGTTAATGGAAATATTATGTAATGTAATACCATAACGTGTGAACGCGTTCTGAAAGGCCGTATTTGCATACGTTGCTATTTAATTATTCTGTTGCGGTCACTCGAGCATTTTTTTATACAAATTTAATATGTGGCAGTCAGTTTATCGTTGGTCGTAAATTCTGAAGTTTTTACATAATTAAAATACGTCCAAGGAAGATTCGGCGCCTCATGCCACGATGAAATCCGAACGGTTAATGCGCGACGTCATGTTTTTCAAACTTTCTTGCTGTAAAGTACAAATTGACGATGGAAGTTTAATTGAATGCACTGAACGCGCGTCCTAAGTAAATATATTAGTCTTGAAGCTTCCGCACGTGGCGTTTTCGAAACTAATGAAAGTTGATCACAGTTAAACAACACGAGCTGAATCGATAATTACTTAATCGATAATCCTAGTTATTTAAACTTATTGTAATTTAAATATGTCTCTCAAATTAATCACCATCACTGATGTAGAATAATTTGATCATTTATTTGCTGTCGTT